ATATATATATATATATATATATATATATATATATATATATATATATATATATATATGTATATATATATATATATATAAATATTACATTATACCCTATATAATTATATACATAGAAATTTACAAAGTTTAAAATTTTTCACCAAATTGTGGGAGGAAAGAATTTATGTATTTATTTTTATTTTCAATTGAAATAGAAAATGTATTCGGGGTGGAACTCCCAAAATCAAAATAAATACATAAAAATACATAAAATAATTTGTATATACAGTGGGTACGGAAAGTATTCAGACCCCCTTAAATTTTTCACTCTTTGTTATATTGCAGCCATTTGCTAAAATCATTTAAGTTAATTTTTTTCCTCATTAATGTACACACAGCACCCCATATTGACAGAAAAACACAGAATTGTTGACATTTTTGCAGATTTATTAAAAAAGAAAAACTGAAATATCACATGGTCCTAAGTATTCAGACCCTTTGCTGTGACACTCATATATTTAACTCAGGGGCTGTCCATTTCTTCTGATCAGCCTTGAGATGGTTCTACACCTTAAGTTGAGTCCAGCTGTGTTTGATTATACTGATTGAACTTGATTAGGAAAGCCACACACCTGTCTATATAAGACCTTACAGCTCACAGTGCATGTCAGAGAAAATGAGAATCATGAGGTCAAAGGAACCGCCTGAAGAGCTCAGATACATGTAAAAGTGCATTATTTGGTACCATGCTCTCTATATATATATATATATATATATATATATATATATATATATATATATGTATATATAAGAATTATAAATATAATTATTATATAATTATAAATACATAAAACATATGTATATATATAATAATAATAATTGATTTACATTATCAATTCACATTAATTTAAAGAAAAATATGTACATACTATATATATATATATATATAAATACACACACACTTCATAATATATATTATTTTATATTATTTATATTATTATATATTATTTACTATATTCATATATTTTTTTTACAATTGCCCTGACTAATAAAATAAAATGGTCCTTAAAATATTTTTCAAAATACAAATAATATAATTAAACAAATTATAATATCTTATTTAGATTTTGGAAGTTCCATCCTAAAATATCTAATATTTTTTAATTAAATGGTGTGTACCTAAATTAAATGGCGGGTGCAGTAGGAAGGCTATCATCTCTACACCGGCTCCAAACGCCTCCACCGCCGTCATGAGCACATGATCCTCCGTGATGTCCTCCTCCCCACCTGACCCCTTCATCTGACCAATCAGAAGAGCGTCCAGCAGGTCTCGAGGCTCTCCGGGTGTGAGGGTCATCTGTGAGGTCAAAGGTCATGAAGACGAGACAAACATTTGTGTGTGTGTGGATGTTTGTGTGTGCGTGTGTGAGTGCGTGTGAGTGCGTGTGTGTGTGTGAGAGAGAGTGTGTGTGTGTGTGTGTGTGTGTGGGCTCTCCGGGCTTGAGGGTCATCTGTGAGGTCAAAGGTCATGAATACGAGACAAACATTTGTGTGTGTGTGGATGTTTGTGTGTGCGTGTGTGAGTGCGTGTGAGTGTGTGTGTGTGTGTGAGAGAGAGAGAGAGAGTGTGTGTGTGTGTGTGTGTGAGTTGGGAGTATGAGTATGAGTATGAGTATGAGTGTGAGTGTGTGTGTGTGTGTGTGTGTGTGTGTGTGTGTGTGTGTGTGTGTGTGTGTGTGTGTGTGCATGTTTGTGTGTGTTCTGGAAGCCAAATCAAATGTCCCTGAGCAAAATGAAATCATAAACACTTCCCAAAGCATCATGGGAATTGGACAGATTGAGCAGATGCACTGACTCACCGAGTATCACGTATATTAAAATCATTAGTGTGAATGAAAGCGTTTAGTGATGAACACACAGATCACTGCAGCTGGCATCGCTCCGCACTGCGCAAAACCAGTCACCAAAATAACATGCTGGTTAGATATTAACACCCAAGCAACCACCTAGCAACCATATAGCAATGCATTAACAACCACTCAGAACACCTTAGCAACCATATAGCAGGGTTATTATAACTAAAACTAAAACCATAAAAAAATAACTAAAACTGAAGTAAAAAATAAATGAACTATACTGATATATTTAAAAAAGAAATCGTACAGAAATGATAGATAACAAAATTACTAAAACTTTACTTAAAATTCAAACAGAAAACAGAAAAATTAACTAATTCAAAATATGAACAAAAACTATAACAGAATATAAATTAAACTAAATTAACACTGCCATTTAGCAATGCACTAACAACACACTAACTCACAACTCCTTAGCAACTACCTAGCAACAGTATAACACTACACTCACAATCACTCAGAGCACCCTAGTAACCATATAGCAATACACTGACAACCACTCAGAACACCATAGCAACCATATGGCAACACACTAACGACTGCTCAGAACACCCTAGCAACTGTATAAGAATGCACTCATAACCACTCAGGACACCCTAGAAACCATATATCAGCACACTAATGAATGCTCAGAAAACCCTAGCGACTGTAGAGCAATGCACCAACAACTGCTCAGAACACCCTAGCAACCATGTAGTGACGCATTAACAACAGCTCAGAACATCCTAGCAACTGTATAGAAATGCACTAACAACCACTAAGAACACCCTAGCAACCAAGTAGCAATGCACTCACAACCACTCAGAGCACCTTAGCTACCGTATAACACTACACTGACAACCACTCAGAACACCCTAGCAACTGTATAACAATGCACTCATAACCACTCAGGACACCCTAGAAACCATATATCAACACACTAATGAATGCTCAGAACACCCTGGCGACTGTACAGCAATGCACTCAGAACACCCTAGCAACCATATAGCAACACACTAATGACTGTTCAAAACACCCTAGCGACTGAAGAGCAATGCACCAAACAACAACTCAGAACACCCTAGCAACCATATAGCAATGCAATTAACAACCGCTCAGAACACCGTAGCAACTGTATAACAATGCACTCATAACCACTCAGAACACCCTAGCAACTGCATAATGCACTCAAAACCACTCAGAACACCCTAGCAACCATATAGCAATGCATTAACAATGGCTCAGAACACCCTAGCAACCATATAGCAATGCATTAACAATGGCTCAGAACATCCTAGCAACCATATAGCAATGCATTAACAACGGCTCAGAACACCCTAGCAACCATATAGCAATGCATTATCAACCACTCAGAACACCCTAGCAACCATATAGCAATGCATTAACAATCACTCAGAACACCTTAGCAACCATATAGCAGGGTTATTATAACTAAAACTAAAACCAGAAAAAATAACTAAAACTGAAGTATAAAATAAATGAACTTTACTGATATATTTAAAAAAGAAATCGTACAGAAATGATAGACAACAAAATTACTAAAACTTTATTTAAAATTCAAACAGAAAACAGAAAAATGTACTAATTCAAAATATGAATAAAAACTATAATAGAATATAAATTAAACTAAACTAACACTGCCATTTAGCAATGCACTAACAACACACTAACTCACAACTCCTTAGCAACTACCTAGCAACAGTATAACACTACACTCACAATCACTCAGAGCACCCTAGCAACCATATAGCAATGCATTAACAATGGCTCAGA